GCTTTTTTGGGTGTGCTTTGAGTGTGGGCATGGACACAGGGGTCCCATGATCCCCTATTGCCCGGGGGCCCCATGAGTTGTCAGTCCGCCCCTGCCTCTGCTTCACCAGATGAGATGTGGCTTCTCTAAGCTGTTGAAGGAGGGAAGCTGAGGAACTTATCTTCCTTGGGCATGTCCAGGAACCCAGAGGGTTGCAAGAAAAGGAGTTGAAGGGGCCTGTACCTTGGGGCATGGAAAGTAAATGGGTACTCTATGACACTGCCACCTTTCAGCAGCTGTTGCGAGCTAGCATCCCCCCTGTCAACTGCAGGCACTGACAGACAGCAGTCCTTATGTACAACCAAAGATTGGTTTATTCCCCCTTTTACAGCTATACACAGCAAGGCAGCAAAACCCACCCCTTCTTGTAAAAACACATACACACTGTTACCACCTTGCCATTATCCAGCTCCCTTCATATGTAGCAAGTAAATGAATAAACCTACCAGTAATGCTATTACTAGGTTGCAGCTAGAGGGAGCTCTAATGATTTGTAGTGTGACTTCAGGAGACTAACAACCAACAAGCTCACAATAAAGTCAAAATGAGCAAGTGAGCAACATGCGTTTTCTGTTCTCCTCTTGATACAGATACTGCAAAGAAAGTAATTATCTGCATAATGTCATCCTTTTATGTTTGACGCATTAAACTCAGAATGAGCAGAGTGAGCAACATGTGTTTTCCGTTCTCCTCTTGATACAGATACTGCAGGCTGCATCGTTGCTATACCTGGCTCAGTCAGCTCACTGATAATCCTGTAACACATGCAAATCTTCAATATACTTGTTTTAGGCTCAATTGAACGACTTGTGTCTGAGTGCACATAATAGAACAGTGAGGGTGGGCTGCCAGCCTTCCTTTTGGTCAGAATATTGGCATTATGGAGATTGCAGGGGTAAGCAGACCAAGCAATAAGCTTTATAAGCAATATATAGCGGTGGGAATGGGGAGGTGCTGTGTGACATAGCATACCTACATCAGTACCTAGGATCGATTACAATGGCATTCACAACTGGGGTCATCAAGAGGAGACATGTGCTCCCAATGCTTGGGCCTACCTTCCTTGGGCATGTCTTTTGAAGCTAGACTCACCAATGGAGTTTTAAAAAGTCCATATATATATATATATATATATATATATTACCCTATGACTGAAATATTGCTTTTCAGTTGCCTGGAACTCTAAAGGAAAACTCAAGTCATATTTATTCAAGGGAGGGGGGCAAGGTACATGGTTGCGATATAAGGAACTGTCCTGAAGGTCCTTCTAACCCAGTTCTCCTCCAGTTGCTCAATACCAATGGGCACATCAGGCAGTAGAAATGTCTCTCGTGATTTGTGGGGACACTCTTCACACAAAGACCACAGGCCATGCCTAGAGGATAGAGGCAGCTGGGTCTGAATGCTCTTTGGCACCTTCCTTTCTGATGACATATTTCTGTGGAGTTCTCCGGTTTACTTCTTTGTTCATGCAATTAAAACCGATACATAAATAGTCCAAATCAAGTCTATGGTGTCCACTGACTAGAATATGCTTTTTGTATGTAAAGGTGCTTTATTATGTAATGGGGAATAAATCAGCAAGAAAAAAAATGTCATTACCCATGGTAGCCCACATATCATGGTTACCTTTTGATTCCCTGCTCTGAAACTGATTTAAAGGGACTGAAGGTAAAGCAGGGTAGGCTGCTAACCAAAATTAGACAACATTTTTAAATTAAAAAACATGACTGGTTCCTCTTGTTTATAGCCCCACTCTTGCACTACGTCCTATAAAATGGGCCCAGTAGAATCCAGCTGGAATGCAATATTGGCTAAACAAGAAATCTAGGTGTATTAATCAAGGATTGACAATCAAGGCTGACAAATGGGAACCAATTTAGCAAGCCAAGAACATGGAACCTAAAATTGGAGCAAATTGTACAGTCACAAATCAATCATGTAATCATGTTTACTCTGGTGGTCCAAGGGGAACTGTCCCCTTACACTGGTAGCCAGTGGAGAAGTGCCTCCTTACATCATTGAGCAGTGGGAGAGTTGCCCGTTTACTATGGTGATCCATGGAGACGTGACCCCCTACATTGGTAGCCAGTGGAGAAGGACCCCTTACATTAGTAGCCAGTGGAGAAGGACCCCTTACATTGGTGGCCAGTGGAGAAGGACCCCTTACATTAGTGGAGAAGGACCCCTTAGTGGAGAAGGACCCCTTACATTGGTGGCCAGTGGAGAAGGACCCCTTACATTGGTGGCCAGTGGAGAAGGACCCCTTACATTGGTGGCCAGTGGAGAAGGACCCCTTACATTGGTGGCCAGTGGAGAAGGACCCCTTACATTGGTGGCCAGTGGAGAAGAACCCAATACATTGGTGGCCAGTGGAGAAAAAGACCCCTTACATTGGTGGCCAGTGGAGGACTCCTTATATTAGTGGCTAGTGGAGAAGGACTCCAATACATTGGTAGCCAGTAGAAAAAGGACCCCTTAAATTGGTGGCCAGTGGAGAAGGACTCCTTATATTAGTGGCTAGTGGAGAAGGACTCTTTACATTGGTAGCCAGTGGAGAAGGACTCCTTACATTGGTGGCCAGTGGAGGATCCCTTACATTTGTGGCCAGTGGAGCAGAACCTCTTACAATGGTAGCCAGTAGAGAAGGACCCCATACATTGGTAGCCAGTGGAGAAGGACCCCTTTCATTGGTAGCCAGTGGAAAAAGACCCCATCTACTGATGCATAGTGGAAGAAGGGCCCCATTACACCGATGGATAGCGGTAGAAATGCTCCCCTTACAGATAGATAAAAAGATAATAGGCATAAGTGGATATTTATCTAAGAGACAGAAATTGTTTATAGCTTAGGATACCCTATCAACCTCTGAAGGACCAATAGTTAAAAAAGGCTGGTATAAAGTGAGCATAAAATCGACAGACAGCTTTGAACCACTTTTTCTTTAGTACAGCCACAGTATTTAATACAATCTCTGCAGAAAATTGGAAGGGTTATATAAAATAGTTCCAAAACTTTGCTACGTGTGGTATGTCAGAAGGCTTGTCTAGCTGACCTGTATAAACCTGTTTAATATAGGAGGTATTCATACTATGAGTCACATCGCTAGAGGGAGAAACTCAGGAAAAAAAAAAAAAAAAAATTGGGAGAAAGGCAACCTAACATAGCTCCTGTAACATTCAACTGCAAGCTTACAGTATGCAAAAACTAGAATTTTTCTAAGTTGGGTAGACTGACCATACTTTATCATACATTATTAATATAATACAGGATTTATATAGCGCCAACAGTTTGCGCAGCGCTTTATAGATACTAGAAAGTGCACCTTACCATGCATTGAAGTAAGAGCTAAGCAACAGTGCCTTCCGTCTAGTATAATGATGGGTATATACTGAAGCTGGGGTGCAAACACAGGCAGTGTTAAAGGGGTGCTATAGGTTTAACAAACCTTAGCCTAACCTGAGTTTAGTAGTGCCGTTCCATTCTGCCCCACTGGATCAAAAGAGATCACCTTGCATAGGCTGTGGCTCACAGCTACTGATCTAAGGTACAATGGGTGCAGGTAGTATAGGAAGAGGGCAATAGGGTGCTGTTAGGTTTAGGTTAGTTATAATTATAGCTAAACAATCATGGCACCATAGAGCTGAGGTTTTGAGAGAACCAGAATGGCATCCATGCAGGGACATCCAAGTGCCCGTTCCCATCATTAGCTGGTATGCTCCACCAATGCAGCCCTCAGATAGGGGAATCTGAATTACAAATTAATTAAAAATAATAAATTATAAAATTATAGCTATCCTTTAAAGAGGTAGTAAACTCTGCTTTTGGCTTGTACCTACAGGTAAGCCTATAATAACTTGTGGTGACGTCACAGCGCATACTCTTGGCGTCCCTTCAGAGCTCTGTGCCGCGACCATGACTCCCATGCGTAAGAGTGACGTCATCGCGGCTCAGCCATTCAAAGGACCAGAGCCCCTGAGCCCAGAAGGACAACCTGGTGAAGTAGGAAGCCCTATCAGCGGCGCCACTGGAGGGCTTTGTTTTAAGGCAAGTATGCCACTGCATACTAGCACATTATGGCTTAAACCACCAGGGGCCCATGTTTTTTTTTTTTTTTTTTTATGAGAAAATGTACTACCGCTTTAAGGAGCAGCCATGGCATCAGGGGAGCCAAGTATAGCAGCCACACCAGGTGTACTAAATACCAGGGCTTTTTTTCTCAGAAAATAGGTGCAGGTTATCCCCCTTCTGAGTTATCCCTGGTCTTTTCCCCCTACCCACCTCCGAGCACCGTCCCATGGTTCCACACCCTACTCACCTCCCAGCACTGCCCTTTTTAGAGCATAGAGTATCATTTTGTGGTGCTAAGTAATTTGTAGTAATATTGTATTAAATTACAGCACTTAAATAGATACCGGAAGCAGCAACAAATAGACCCTATAGCAACAATAGATCCCCCAGCAGACAACAGACCCTATAGCAACAATAGATCCCCCAGAGACAACAGACCCCAGCAACAATAGATCCCCCCCTCAACAACAGTAGACCACCCTGCAACAAAATACCTCCCCAGTAACCACAGATCCACTCCAGCAACAATAGACACTGCACCAGCAACAACAGAACTGTCAGTAGCCAGCATCAATAGATCCTCCAGCAGCCAACAATAGCACATTCCTCCTCCACCAGCAACAAATCCCCCCCTCCCAGCAATATAAGACCCCTCCAGCAACAACAGATCCTGCACCAGCAACAATAGACCTCCCCAGCAACAGTGGACCCCTGTACAACAACAGACCCCCTAGTAAGAATAGACCCCCCTGCAGCCAGCAGGAATAGATTTTCCAGCACACCCTGCCACCCGTTGCCATTACATATATTCAGTGCTGGAGGTGCCAGAATGCCAGAACTGTGTTCCCCACGTTCCCACTGAAAAAAAAGCCCTGCTAAAAACTCATGTCCAGGGGCGGACTGACAACCCATGGGGTCCCCAGGCAATAGGGGATCATGGGGCCCCTGTGTCCTTGCCCACACTCAAACCACACCCAAAAAAAGCAAGCCTATGAAAAACCCTATGAAAGGTTCCAGGGGCATCTCATGGGACCCCCTACTGACCTCGGGCCCTCGGGCAGTGCCCGAGTGCCTGAATGGTCAGTCCGTTCCTGCTCACATCACATAAGGTACAAAACAAAATTGTATTTCCCTTTTACATTTTTGCATTACCTACTGAGCCCCCTATCAGCTACTTGGTCTTTACAGAACAGAAAAAAAAAGGTCTAATTTTATTTAATTTTTAGCAGCAAGGGGCTGATCAGGTGTAACCTGGGATAAGGTAAAACAACGATCTAGTTCAGGATTTCCAGCACAGCCTTGGTTTTTTGGTTAGGCTACAACTGGCCCAATTTATACGGTTACGGTCTCCATATTGCAAAGATGCCTCTAGAATTAATAGACCATTAAACATTCATTACAAGCTGGTGCAGATGCGTAACCTACTTGCTTTAGGTAGGCACTAAAGTTTATCTGGGGAATTCATAAAAAAATATATCAGAGACCTATGGAGAGGTGCAGGATGGTGCAGCGGGCAGTAAACACTCCATAGTCCAGTTGCAGGAAACAAAACTTGTATTAAAGTTAAAGTTTGCACTTCACAACAAGCCCGTGTTAAGGCATTCGAACTGAAAAAACTCACAGGATGTAGCAGAGCAGGTCGCGAATATGCCGACAGCGTCTGTCTCAGAGGGCAGAATGTTGCCTGGCCGGTCTGTACCCAAAAAGGAGGCTTTCAGAAAGGATAGTGTGTCCCTACCCTTTCCCTACTCATCTGGAACCTCTCTCTACCACTATTCACTGTCCGACAGATGGGTGACCTGTCCCTACACTACCCATATGTGGAATGCGCACTAAGCCCAGGGAGTCAGGGTCCTAAATAGACTCTGCCTGATCCAAGATGGCCACCAGAGTCACATGGGGTGGCAGCATCCAATCGGATAACGTCCCCAGTGACCCTAGGAAACCATAGAGGAACCATGTCTCTCTTGACTTCCTCTCCCTCCGCAATGCTGCTGAGGTTGAACGCCACCTGCAGGAGAGAAAGTAGACTGCATCTGCCTTCACACTCTTTAGAATTCCATTGGGGTGCAGCACAGAAATTGTCGGTGTGTGTGCCGATTAATGTTCATGTCAGAGACAAGTTCATGAATCTCATCAATGCCGGCACTGAGGTTGGAGTGTCCATACTAAACCCTCTTACCTCAATGCACTCCCTTCCCCACCTGCATCTGCGCCATCACACTGACAGTTTTACTGCTACAGGGCGGTTGGCAGACAGCCTCAGATGTTTTTTTTATGATAGTCTACAAATCAGTTTGAGTCTTAAACTTGCTTTATTATCCAGTTTAAGTCACAAAGGGGATGATTTAATAAAAGGCAAATAGACTGTGCACTTTTCAAAGTGCAGTTGCACTCTGCAAGAGCAGTTACTCCAGACCTTAGTAAATGAGCAAACGCTTTGCTGACCTTCCATCATCCAATCACATGCAAGCAAACATGCTATTTTTTTTCCTTGCACATAATTGGGTATTCTTTGCAAAGTGAAACTGTACCTCATTTACTAAGCTCTGGAGCAACTGCACTTGCAGAGTACAACGGCACTTTGCAAAGTGCAAGGTCTATTTGCCTTTAGTAAACCAACCTCAAAATAAGCAGCTGGTCCACAGCAAAGTAACATAAAAGTTAAAAATAAAGCCTATTCTGTTTGGCATTAGTTGTACAAATCCCTTGCTACCAATTGAAAGAACCTTGTACCCGGATCCCTAAAAAGCAGTGGTCAAATCTGCCATCGCATAGTGTCTCTCTTAAGGGCAATATGCTCTGGCTTCACTAAGATTTTCTTCAAGTTCTCAAAGACACATCTGAAGGCAGATGGTCACAGCTGTGGCCTAACTGTCTTGAAAACACAGGTTTCCCAGATATGCAAAAACACTCTTCCCTTGCCAAATTGGCTCTCCCAGTGTGTCCATCACACATGGTACTTTAGAGCAAGTTAGAACTTCAGATTGTTGGCAGGTACTTTTCTTGCCACAGGTTCCGTCCTGCCTTTACAAAGTCTGCCATATTCCTGCATGCAACCCTTCAAAGAGAGCCCAGCTAGGTTCTCCAGCTCCCTAGATCCTAGGTTCTCCAGCTCCCTAGATCCTAGGTTCTCCAGCTCCCTAGATCCTAGGTTCTCCAGCTCCCTAGATCCTAGGTTCTCCAGCTCCCTAGATCATAGGTTCTCCAGCTCCCTAGATCATAGGTTCTCCAGCTCCCTAGATCATAGGTTCTCAAGCTCCCTAGATCCTAGGTTCTCCAAGCTCCCTAGATCCTAGGTTCTCAAGCTCCCTTCCCTGCAAGAGTACATTGGCCTGGCACATGATCACTCAAGTCCAGGGCACTGCAATCTGAGATTTTGAAGGGGCAAGCAAATTTGCCCCGTATATACAAAAGGTTTGGCTTTTTAGAAAGCTAAAGTGGACGTCACAGTTGTGCTTTTAATAAACTTCCATAGGCACAGAGGGATGACACGATGGATGCCAACAATCAGAACATTTATTTTACATTGAAGGAACTGCGTTGAGGTGAATGTACTTGTATGTGATACAAACAACATACACAGAGTAGATATTAATACACATAGTATAAGGAGACCTAGTTGTGGTTGGAATTGATACAATTTACTGTGTGTGGGAGCGACAAAAAGTCCAGAGTAAACACGGTGTGTTTGTGTGTTGCTAATGCTATGTTATTGGAATCTGCCCCGGGGATTTGGGTGTGGGTGCGCCGTCTTTGGCTGACAGATCTGTACGAGTCTGGGCTGGGCCCTGAGGGATGGGCGCAAGAGGAATGTGAGTGATCAGCATGTTTCTCCAGAGCTGACAACACCTCAAGTTCTGGCAGGACTTGTGAGAGTCTTCTTTACACTGTCCAGACCTCACAAGAGCCCAATCAAAAGCCCCTTTAAAACCAAAATAGTTCAGATCAAGGCAAGGGATACTCTTGACTTTTTCATATGAATGTAATTTAAGAATTAGACTTGGGATATTTAGTACATTGCCAAGGTGGCATCATTTTGAATGTCTTGGTGGCTTGAAACCCAGTTAGGCATATGATAGTTGTTGGGTTTTTAACTTATTTAATAAAGTCAAATAGTCTGTGCACTTGGCAAGTGGAGTTGCACTCTGCAAGGGCATTTGCTTCAGAGCTTAGTAAATGAGTGGGGGCTCTGTTGACTTCTATCATCCAATCATGTGCAAGCAAAAATTTTTTTTTTTTTTTTACTTTTTTTTTTTATTTTGCTTGCCTGTGATTGGATATTGTTTGCAAAGTGAAGCTTTGCCACATTTAAGCTCTGGAGAAAATGCCCTGGCAGAATGCAACTGCACTTGCAAAGTGCACAGTCTTTTTGCCTTTAGTAAATCAACCTCACTGAATACTAAATGCAGGACAATGCAGTTTCAATGGAAAAACTGCCCCAAAGTGGCTGTGGAGATTTGCACTGAAGTACCCACTTGGGTACAATGCACATACAATTTAAAATAACTGTAGGTAAAAAAACAAAAAACACATAAAAAACACTGTTAAGTATTTGGATTATTAGGAATACCTAAGGTTGCATTGACATTTTCTGCACAAGCAGAATGTCCGCCATTTTTGCCTGACACCCACAAATATCAAATGGATCTAGATTTTAGCATATAACCAAAAATTCCCCATTGCTAACATCATAAAACTTTTCTGCAATCCAAAGCATGGCAGGACCAAGTTGTGCAGGCAGAGGCATTATTGGTTTCTCAGGCACATGGACCCACCCCCCTAACCACCAAACATTGGTTCCAAACTTCCATCTGCACATAGATCCTATACTCCACCACAGCTTGGGCCAAGTTCAGAGGAACCCTTGAACTAAGTTCATCTACCACTCAATGTTGCAGTTTTGGTCTCTCCAGGGCATCAGCCAGCACCATGTTTCTTTGGGTTCTTTCTTACTATCTAGCCAGGAGGAAGAACCCTTTTTTTATGTAGCGCCCCTCTAGATAGCCAGAGGGAGCTAGTTACTAATTTTTAGATGGAAGGGCTGAGCAGCACCCTGGGCTGAGCCTGAGGGTCAAATGTTGGACAGGGCTGAGAGGTTCTGCAGATCAGCTTTCTGATACCTCCCCCTGATCTAGAGACTTGGAGAAGTCTCTAGAACTCAGTGGGCAGGGGTGAGGAGGAGCTGGTCTGCATACTTAGGGGATCCTGACCAATCCCCAAGCAGGAGGCTTGGCATGGGGTCAAGACAGCCCTTAAGTATGATTGAGCCTGCTCAGCAGCAGGAGAGTTTGGTTGGAAAATGTGAGAGTGGAAGAGATGCAGAAGCCTGGGAGGGGGCCCAGTGGGATGGAGCCTACCTACAGGCTGGGACCTGGACAGGAAGATCACTCAGCCTCACCAGGACCCAGAGGGAGGATTACCTGTGGAGGTAGAAAAAGAGCCAGCCCAGCAGAAGGTCTGAAGGCAGCTACCTACCTAAGTAGAGAGTAATCCTACACCCCCTGGGCCAGCTAAAGGGAATAGAGCATTCTGGCAGGAAACCTGACTAACTCCTTACCTGGGGCTGTTCATCTGAAAGTGGCAGGCACTGGATACCCTTGACCAGGGATTCATCCAGACAACTGGGTAAAGAAGAGGATTGATCTGGGGTCTGAGGTGGTACACCTGGAGAGGCTGGAGAGCTCTCCAAGAAAGAACTTTTGCTGTAAAGAGACTTGTACATAGTTGCCAGGAAGTTGTCCTCAGTTTTCAGTTCCATTGGGCATCCCATACACCCCTTACCCCAACCAAGTTCAATTCCCCTCATGAAAAAAAAAAAAAAAAAAAAAAAAAACAAGCTCAAAGGACTGTTTACTGTCTCTGGAATGGAAGTCTGTGAAAAATACGTGTTGCCTGGCTGTGCAGGACTATAGAGGGACCCAAATCTTTACCAACTCCTAAGGGG